GAACATGTCCCTGTCAACGCTGCCAGATTCGTGCTCCGCCAATCGCTGACTCCGATAAAGGAGACCAACTGCTGGAAAACGTCTGATATGAACGATATGGTAGTCCTGTCGCTTGTCGAGAAAAAACAGGTTGGCTCAGCGCCAAGCGCGACCGCGGACACGCCATATCATTGGCAGCGAACAGGTTTGAGTTTACTGTTTAGTCACCAACGGAATGTCGACTTATTAATATTGGTTATTTCGGATTAGTTTGATGAATGAAAGTTTTGTACTATTTTTTTGCATATCCGAGTTCTCTACAAAGCAAGTTTCGCTGTACAGGACTCAGCACATTGACAATTTGCGCTGCTCGTTACTGGCTGCCGCACTCACTACGACCCCCCCCCTCTCCTGGCGGCCAAATACGACCCCCCTGTTGGGGATTCCCCAACCAACGATGTGCCCTGCATCAGAAGGCGAACGTAGAGCACTGATATCCATGCAGCATCGCAACCGTTTCATATCGCTTCCATATGTACTTCGGCCAAATGAAGCAATACAGCAACAGTACGGTCGCCCCTTTGTGGGCGCGGCGCGTGACAGCTCCGGGTAGGTGTGTTGCAGTCTGGAAGAGGGACTATAAGAATACCTCGAAAGATCGCTAGGCATGCTCCTTGCTCAAGGCTGCAGAGTTCGTCCTGCCAGGCTATTAATATGATTTGTCTGAATTATCGTGCAACTGCCGTTAATGCAGGCAGTGGCGCTCGTCAAAAGGTATCCCATCACAATGACAGTTACTGGCACTTGTCAATGGGACACGCTCTCGCTGCGAAAGTCTTGAGGGGTTTACTGGCCCTAAGCAATAATTTCAATTATTTTATAAATTTTTTAAGTTTATTGTTAGTTCGGTTGAACCGAGTATTCAAAGGAGGAGGGAAGATGAAGGAAGGAAGGGGTAAAAGGAAGATGGGGAGAAGTTCTACGTTTTACAAGTATTCTGAGACGTCACAAGAATGCTGAAAGAAAGCCTCGACCCTAGCCAAATTGGAAGAAGGACCTCAGCTCTCACCAGGCCGGTAAGATACCAGCCGAACCACAGAGGATGCTTTGTACTATCTCTAATAATATCTACTGAGATTATAGATAATTATTAGAAGCCTCGCTCTCTGTGGAGCGGAGGGGGGGGGGAATCTGATTCATCAAGTGATACGGAAGTCATCTATTCCAAAGACATCCGTCCGTAAATAATCTTCTTGGTTCCCCCCGCGGACCATTCTGAAAAATTACGGTTTTGACTTGCCCACGACGGTAGGTCAGAAGCCCTCAGTAGCCCGTGATACTGAGGGCTTCTGACAAAACGAACAGCTGTCACCATCTTCCCGGCACGCCGTACAATAATAGTAATGCCCCTGCCTCTATCACTCGATCAGGGCAGGACAGGCGATAGAAAGAAATTCTGCTTTGAAGAAAACAACTGGGATCATGTTCTATGCAACCTACAGCAGTTCTTCTCTAAATAATAAACTCCGAAGGCTGAACCTCCCAAGCTCTGGGTGCAGATTCAGCATGGTGACTTAAGGGTGATAACAAGATCATCTGTCCCTATATGATATTAAAGCCCTCCCGGAAACAAGGCTTTCCAAAAATTACGTTTTGACACGACCATCAGTGGAAGGTCAGAAGCCTGTAGTACCTTTGGCTACTGGAAGTAAACTAACGTCGAACCGCTATGACGTCCACCGGTCTCGCTTCGCGCCGCTGTAACAGGCTGCATCACTTGGTAGCGTTGGCGATCAAAAGAAGTTCTGCTCCGTAGAACCACGGCTATTACAGCAGTTGTCACTAAGGGGTTAAGGGACAGGGCCTATTAACAGCTAAAATGTGCAGACTCAGCATCATTTCCTACGACACAGTAACCTGTCTCCATGTCATCTCGTAGCGCCATCCCACATACCTGGAGAGGCTTCCCAAAAAATAACTTTCTCTTCAGCAATGTATAGGCACGACGACGTGTAATCTTGTTGCACCGTGATAAAATACTGAAACGCTTTGAGACCTACCTGATTCCCTGGCGCGCCGTTCAATAGACTCCCCTTATTGTTTGATTACAAGTGAACAATGAGACCTGGTGTCCCTCCGTGTTTTTAAGGCCGCGTTCATAGCTTGCGACCGTGAAGAAATGCAGAAATGCGGAATCTGCAGAAATGACGAAAAGCAATAAATACGTATCGATTTGAAGAAATGCAGAAATGCCGAAACTGCAGAAGTGCGGAAAGTGCAGAAATGCGGAATCTGCAGAAATGACGAAAAGCAACAGATACGTATCGATTTGAAGAAATGCAGAAATGCGGAATCTGAAGAAATGCAGAAATGCCGAATTGCGGAAAATCGATACGTATCTAATTGCTTTTCGTCATTTCTGCAGATTCCGCATTTCTGCAGATTCCGCACTTCTGCAGTTTCCGGCATTTCTGCATTTCTTCAAATCGATATGTATATAATGCTTTTCGTCATTTCCGCAGATTTCCGCATTTCTTCATGGTCGCAAGCTATGAACGCGGCCTAAGGCCTACTTAGTATTATGCCGTTGTTCCCCTGTTATTACCGCCATTATTACCTTTTCGGATACCCCGGGAAGACGTTCCAAAAATCACGGTTTTGACTCAACCAGGAGTGCAAGGTCAGAAGTCCGTAGTACCAAACTCTGAAGGCTGAACATCCCAACAAGCTCTGAAGTACATTCGGAATCATGTCAGGGGATGAAAGCACGCCATGTCTGGGGGAGGGGATAATCATCCATCTTTACAGGAAGCTAGTAATGCCCCCCCCACCCTTGGATACCTCTCCAAAATTTATGGTTCTGACTCAAACACAATAGATAGGAGAGAAGCCTGTAGTATCTAATGACAAA